CATGCTGGCTGGGGAATTCTGGGAGTTGAAGCCCACCCACCTTAAAGTTGCCAACTTTGAAAAACACTGATTTGCAGGTGTGTTCATAGCACACTGAACCGCAAACTAGCCTGGTGTACAAACCTAGTTAGTTCATAGTTCAGTCTATAATGTGAATGTACCCACCAAAACAGGTCTTTTTCCCATCACGGCTTGCTTCAGGTCCTAGCATTTGAAATCCCCCCTCCCATTCTGTCTGCACCCGGTTGTTGAAGGGAGACCGAGAACCCTCGTGGTCAGTTGGAAAAGAAATTGGAAGTTGGAAAAGTGTGTGTGTGTGGAGACAGGACTTCCAATCAGCCTACATTTGACATCGCCCAGCACGCGCTCCCCTTTTCAACCTACAATTGAGAAGAATCCCAAAGGAAAAAGAAAAAAATGTATTTTTCTCTCTTTTTTAATTGAAAGAGTAATGAAAAGTTCTTCATATGGCTTCGACAAAACGAGAGACAGCAACTTGTAGGAAAAATGCTTTTTTTGTTGTTTCTTTCTTTGTTTGGTTTTATACAGCAAACGAAAAGGAGAAAGGGAAAATAAAATCTGTACCTTTAAGCAACATGAGTCCAATATATACACAGAGAAAACAAAGGCAAAGCAGCTTAAACCAAATGAATTTCCATCAATACATTGGCTAATTACAGACTGTGTCAATAAATACCCAGTTTTAGCTTAGCTTTGTTGTTTTTTTTTTTAAAGAAAAATGGGCCTGAACCAAAAACCTTTTACACAATATGCAGAAAGGGGAAATATGTATTTATTTACAAATCAGTGCACACGGGGGTATCACGGGAGGGGATTGGTGCCAAAAGAAAGCGAATAAATTAAAGCAAGCGGGTGGGAGAAGCATGAAGGCAGGAGTCTTCTCTGTCAATCACCCAACATTCATCGGAAAACAACTTCTATAGAAAAATATGCCGAGAAAATAGGAATGTTCTAAAAATGGTTGCTTTAGTGCCAAAAAATATATATATAAACAGTACGGGGGGGGGGGACTTGTAAAGCAATAATTATTTAATATAAATTGGTTTCTTTAAAAATCCCATCAATTAAATAAAAATAGGGAAAACTATACTATTCACAGACACACACAAAAAAAAGATAATAAAGCTGCCCACAGCAGGATTATACTTTTCGCACTAGCTTATGCCACATTTCTTCTGTAGACATTTTCTCTTCAAGCACGCCATCTCTTGACTTTTTCTTTGCACGGACCAGATGGGGGCCAGCTGTCTTCCCAAAGGCTTCCAAGCGCGGAAGAAATTTGGGGCGCTTCGTAAATTATTGGAGGTCAAAGTGCAAGGCATATCAGTTCAGAGAATGAAAAGGGACCCTAAATCCACCCTCCAGGGCTCTGCCCAAGCACTGAAGCCAACCACCTTAAACCAGGTCACCTGTAAGATGCTGGTAAGCAGAAGCTGTGAGTGACACCAAATTATCCGCTGTTCCCTTTTGCTCAACAGCAATTCTCTCATTCTGCAGGGTGGGGGTTTAGGGAAGCTAGCAATGCACAGATGTGCAAAGCCTTTGCCCCCGTTTGCGCCCTAGCAAAACCTGGAAAGAGCTTATGGCAGGGGCGTTAGCAGGATATGGTCAAAAAAAAAAAGATGGCTGCCATGGCGGGCGATGGAAGCTTCACCTGGTGGTTTTGCGGGTCCAGAAATCAAGATGGCACCCCCAACGGTGCAATTGAAGCTCTGTTTGGGTTTTACACATGGCATCTTGGCTTTCTGGGCCATATCCTGTGGACACCCCGGCTTAGGGTGAAATGCTCAGCTGTAATCCTGCACGTTGCTAGCTGTGCTGATGGCTTTCAGAGGTTGCAAGGCCCGTGGTGTGTCCAAGACACACGTGAGCTTTCAAAACGGTTGAAAAGTTGAGGGATGAAGCCACAAACCCAGCCAAGCACGTGGAGGACACACAACTAGAGCACAGGTACTCTCTCTTTCCAAGAAACATCTCTTTCCTTCTTCAGAAGCTTGTCAACTTCCCATGTCTTCCTAGAACAGATTATAAATCTAGATCAATATATTCTCCAGAAAGGCCACATGGGGTTATGTTTGCTGTTCCATTTAAGCATGCTTGTGCCACACAGGCATCCATAATTCACAAGCGACAGCGTCTTTCATGCCCCTCTCCCCTTGGCTAACATCCATGCCCGGTACAAGGTCAGGGGACCAGCTAACCAAGTTTTTATGCCACAAATGAGGTGGAGCATGTAAAAAAAAAAGAACACGCCACAATCCAGGGAGGAAAACAATGAACTTTGCAGGAAACAGTCATCTTCCCATCACTCAAAAACACAAGAACCTGGGGGTGGCTTGGGGGGCAATTGACAAAATATGCCTCATGGTATTGGGGCAGAGGGTGTGCCGTGATGTCAGGATGCACGTTTTCTTGCTTTGACAAAATCGTGGCCTGCTGCGGACACCGCTGCTAGAAAACCCTTCCACTCCATTCAACGGTTTCTCCCATTCTCCCCCTTGCTCCCTGTAATTGTGACTACTAACTCCTGGGTATAGTTTCCAAACCAGTCAAGCCCTTCAAGATCATGAATCTTCAGATACAAGCTCTAGATCAGTGTTTCTCAACCTTGGCCGTGTGAAGATGGGTGGACTTCAACTCCCAGAATTCCCCAGCCAGCCA